GACTCTACCTCGACTAAAGACTAACAAATTGTAGCACCTAAATTGTACTTGTAACGTAACTCATCTATAGCAAATTGTAAATTGGCTTATTTGAGGAAATTGCACTTTCTTGTTTCTTGTTCTCCTGAGTTTGTACCCTATGGTTGAATGCACTTATTGTAAGTTGCTTTGGATAAAAGCGTCAGCTAAATGACATGTAATGTAATGTAATGTAATAATACATGGACCTTCAGTTCACATTGAAGACGACTTGAAACTAGAGACTGAGACCATAAACTCATGTTTACAATGTTTACTGAGGGAATAAATCAAGAGAAAAGTAGAGTCATTTCCTCATAGACGTCTATGGGAGCAGAGGAGTCGCCCCCTGCTGGTCACTACAGAGAAGTAGAGTCATTTCCTCATAGACGTCTATGGGAGCAGAGGAGTCGCCCCCTGCTGGTCACTGCAGAGAAGTAGAGTCATTTCCTCATAGACGTCTATGGGAGCAGAGGAGTCGCCCCCTGCTGGTCACTACAGAGAAGTAGAGTCATTTCCTCATAGACGTCTATGGGAGCAGAGGAGTCGCCCCCTGCTGGTCACTGCAGAGAATGCAGCTTAAAGACACAAAGCTTTAAGTAGCTGAACACCAAGTGAAGAGCAGCCAAGCCTGAGGGGGCTAGCTGGTTGTCACGGTGACGGTACTAGTCGTAGTAAAAAGAACTGGGGATGTTTGATGTGAAGCTCTTTTTAGACGTGTATGACGAGTATGTATATAACATTTGTTGTGTATACATATATACATATATATATATATATATATATATATATATATATATATATATATGTGTATATGTGTACTTTGATTGAACCTGAAGGATTAACCCGTGTATCCAGAAGCATGAATGTGTGTGTGTGTGTGTGTGTGTGTGTGTGAGTATTCTGCTGCTCTGATCTCAACTCCATCAACTCCATTAACCCCTAATTCACTTATGACGCCATAATTCCTCCCGCTGGTTGAATTGATTTCCCTCGGTGTTGGATCGATACCGCTAGGCCTTCTGGGAGATAATCCTTTAATCTCTGTGATGGTGAAGCAGGTCTGATGTAAATGTGATTTTTCAGATGAGAACAACACTCAAGTCAAAGATTAGGATGTAAAAAAGTACTTCTAAATTAATCTAAATTGTTACCGTTAGCCCGATAGTTATCCTGTGCCTGTCAATTAGCATAACAGTTAGCATTTACTATTATCCTTTGGGGTGCTGAAGATTAAAGGGTACATAAAAGGTGTCCATAGTTCTTACTGAGGCTTCAGGGGTTCTTGACAGGGTTCTGCTGGGACAGAGGGTTCATTGAGGAGTTCTAGAGAACCTCGAATGAGGGTTCCAACTGGATGGGTCTAATGGGTTTTGGGACTTAACTGAGGTCTTTGAGGAAGGTTTTCAGTGGTTCCTCAGGAACCACCTTGTGGACAACACATGAGATGTGGAAGCGTTTCAGGTTTGGGGGTCTTTTAAGGGTCCAGGTGTTTCCAGGAGTCTGCAGGGAAACTCAGAGGGTCCTTGTGGTTTTAGAGGTCCTTCCTCTTATTATTTCTCTATTTCTTGTTCTCTTTCTTCCCTTTTTAATGTCCATGTACACACATTGCAATAGTGTGGTACTGATAACTAACATGTTATGGGTTGAAACCATGAGCTGTGATACTTGTGCTCTGAGGAGCTTCTCCCTGAATGCTCTCGTACTGCCCCTCGCTGGTTCCAGGTGGAGCTGCAGGTTGTTCTCTGTAGGAAGACGTAGTTGAGGTGACCTCACATTAAGATATCTAAGCGTGTCATGAAATCCACAAAGATGCATCCTCATGATCCTCATGATTAAAAAACACAACCTACATGAGGAATGAAGCAGGGAAACACAGGAAGTGATGTCACTGGAGCGGAAGCTGCTGATTGGTGGAGAGATTCCGGGGCAGCTGCTATAAAACCTGAAGAGACTCTGAAGAGAAGAGAAGACACATGAGAGACTGAAGGTAGGACGCTGTGCGTGTCTGTCTGTCTGTGTGTGTGTGTGTGTGTGTGTCAGTGTCATATGTATGTATATATGTGTGTATATATATATACATTGTGTAGTTGTGGGAGCAGTAATACATGAAGATAACACAATGTTACAGGTAGACAGAAGCGTGCGTTGTGATTATTATCAGAGTGAAGTGTGTCTGTTGTTGTTGTTGTTGTTGTCGTGTTGCAGATGCCGTCCTGTGGCTGTTTGCTGTTTCCCTTCATGATGTTCTTCATGTTGCTTCACTGCGATGGACAGGGATCTCCACGGCAGCGGGTGAGGACACACACAGACACACACTCAGTCAGAACCTTCGTGTTGCAGAGCGGACTGAAGAGATACGATGAGGTCCTGTCGAGCGGGGCTGAGACATCGTGTAACATCATCGGGGCGCGCTCTGTTTAGTCTGGACGACACGTGATCACGTGACTCAGAAAGTGAGGCTGCGCTCGCTGTCGGGGTCGTGATGTCCGAGACAAGTCACGCAGAGGAGTCTCGACCAATGAAAACACAGGAGAGCCTTTCTCTGCTGGGCCGTGTTTTCTAAGCGGAGACCCCCTCCTGGATAACATCACACGATCCACTATGAGCCAGAACCAGGTCAGACCTGATCCTCTATGTCACATCACATGTCATTTATCTGACGCTTTTATCCACAGCGACTTACAATAAGAACATTTCAACCATGAGGACACAAACTCAGAAGAACAAGAAACAAGACAGTGTGATTTCATCAAATAAGCCGATGTACAACTTGCTGTAGATAAGAACCATTATAAGTCCAGTGTAAGAGCTACAGTTAGTGTGTTAGTGGAGGTAGAGTCTGAAGAGGTGTGTCTTTAGTCTGAAGATGTGAAGGCTCTCTGTGGTCCTGATGTCTTCAGAGACCTCCTTCCACCATTTAGGAGCAGGACAGCAGAGAGTGGAGATCTAGTCGAGTGTTTTGCTCTCAGTGAGGAGGAACAAGCAGTTTATCACATGCAGAGCAGAGAGGTCAGAGGTCGGGATGTCGGGTTGGACCAGGTCCTGGATGTAAGCTGGACCCCATCCATTCACAGCATGGAACCTGAGCACCATGTTTAGAACTGGATGAGCCGCCGGTACCAGTGAAGAGAGCGGAGGAGTGGAGGAGTGAGGGAGAACTTAGGAAGGTTAAAGACCAGTGGAGCTGCTGCATTCTGGCTGAGCTGCAGGGGTGGAATGGTGGTAGCAGGAGACCTGCAGGAGAGAGTTACAGTAGTCCAGGAGGGAGACGACAAGAGCCTGAATCAGTACCTTCTGAGTGAGAAGAGGACGTGTTCTCCTGATGTTGTAGAGCGTGTATCTACAGCAGGGGTCTCAAACTCGCGGCCCGCGGGCCAATTGCGGCCCTCGGGACGATATTTTGTGGCCCCATCCTTAATATGAAAGTGTAATGTTAGTGCGGCCCGCAAGTTTTATACTGTAACCCCACTGTCAGCTGCTGTGTGGGACATGTTATGATGTTCTGGTTTCCTACTGTGTGCTTGTCCAGTGAACGTGGCATGCATGTGACTGACATGGGGGGCGGGTCGTGTGTCGGCCGAGGTGCAGAGAGCAGGAGGGTGAAATTCAGTTTCCTGCCCTCTTTCGCGCAGGTGATCATGTGACTAACCGTTAGCATCGCTCGTTTAATAAAGTTTTCCTTTACGACTCACACTAACAACACATGAAGCATCTGACGTCACCGACGAGCGTCTCCGTCCATCACTACGCAGCTTCGATTCAAGTAACTTCACGTTTGGCTATAAAGGAATTCCACGGTCACATGACCTTAGGTCTCCCCCGCTGAGTTAAAGGAGGACTAGTGTTGTAGTCTCATTCGGACCGATCCCCCAGGGTGGGGTTCAATGACTGCTTTTGAAAGTGAGTGTTAAGTTGTGTTATTGTCGACCATGCCGTTCGGACGCTAGTCTGGCCCGCGTTCGGTTGAAGTGGGCTGCATCTGGCCCGCAGCTGATTTGAGTTTGAGACCCCTGATCTACAGGATGGTGCTGTCAGTGATGTTGGAGTCAGGGAGAGTCGGCTGTCGACGTCATGACGAGGTTCCTGCAGTCAAAGTGGGCGTTAACACGGGTCCGAGAATCTTTCCCCGGAAAGAGAAGCAGTTCAGTCTATGTGAACCCGTCTCAGCTTAGACCTGAACCTCCGTGCTTCTTTTGGTGACTTTCCACTTTGCTGATGCGATCCTGTGAATTTCTGCATTTTGGGACTAATTAAGGAATATCTTGTCTCATCCTATTCGTGAGAACGTAACAACATACCCTCACCCAGGCCGGTGTTTGCGTTCCAGCGCGTAGTCCGACCCGCCTCTTGGGCTCCGGTGAGTCTGCGCTCTCCACCCAGGGGGGCGCTGAAGGCGAAGCTGTTCCGGCTGGAGGATCCGAGAGTGACGGAGAAGGAGGTGATGCAGCCAAAGAGGAGGAGGAGCTTCTCTGGGACCAACGCCCCACTGGACCGCATCTCGGCGGGGGCCATGGAAACCCAGCAGGGAGGGGCCAAGCAGAGGTGGGGGGGACAAGCCAGGTCTTTCATATTCATCAGGGGACCCAGAACGCAGCATGTGATCAAATAAATCTCCGTAAGCCGTAGTAACAAAACATAGTATGGGTCATCCCAAAGAAATGAGGTAAAAATGTATATTAGTACATAAAAAATGCATTAAAAAGTCTCAGAAAAGAATGTCATGAGAAATAAAAAAATGATTTAAAATATTGTGAAGTAGGACATCAAGATGTCATAATATAATTTTAAGTAATTCAAATAAATCTTAAACATATGATAGTTAAATAGCTCTGTTCACCTCCTGTGTGCAGAAAGGCAGCGGAGCCGCGGCGGCGAGTCAGTCCGCCTCCCGTCGACCGGATCGGAATCAGTCGCCTCCCGAGCAGGAGAGGGTGACCACGCCCCCTGCCTGTGGCAGCCCCGCCCCCACCAGCGCTCAGGTAAGCAGTTAAATAAACCCCGGTTAGTACGTTAGTAAGTATGTTTCTGAAAACGGGACAGTCTGCATGTGGGCGCCAGTATCTTGTACTTGTACTTGTTACTGTTATTACTACCTGAATAACTTATTACTGTTTCTACTACCTGCATGCACCTGAAGGCGTTGTTGGCTCCGCCCCCCTCCATCACCCACCAAGCCGACCGTCTCGACTCTTTGGACTTATTGATCCGGCAGGACGTCCCGCCGAGAGACGTCTCCACGGCAACTGCATCGCATTTACGACAACGTCCGAATCACAAGAAGCTGGGCGACGTTTTTAGGCTTTGAGGCCCTCTAGCGGCCGTTAGAAGAAGCGCATCTTGGAAATGACAGAGAAAGGAAGACATTTCCGGGGTCAGAGGTTCCTCACTGGTTCCTCACTGGTTCCTCACCGCACGACGTGAACCATTAAACACGGTTTGAATCCTGGGTCTAGACGTCTGGTCCAGTTTCACCAGCTTCCCTGTGTGCTAATTATGCTCAATAAAAATGAAATGATCTGCAGTGAGCTCGTAATGCATTGATTTCACAATGATAAACTGAAGAGGAAGAGACGTACAGACGCAGCATGCGTCGCTGGTTCTGTCAATCAGCGTGTAGCCCCGCCCAAAGCGTCCCCTGCTTCATGGTCTGTTTGACTTGAACATCATGCTGTGTTGAAGAAGACTTGAAACTAGAGACTGAGACCATAAACTCATGTTTACAATGTTTACTGAGGGAATAAATCAAGAGAGAAGTAGAGTCATTTCCTCATAGACGTCTATGGGAGCAGAGGAGTCGCCCCCTGCTGGTCACTACAGAGAAGTAGAGTCATTTCCTCATAGACGTCTATGGGAGCAGAGGAGTCGCCCCCTGCTGGTCACTACAGAGAAGTAGAGTCATTTCCTCATAGACGTCTATGGGAGCAGAGGAGTCGCCCCCTGCTGGTCACTACACAGAATGCAGCGGGTGAAGTTTTGGGTGGTCTTTCTCTCAGGCCTCAGTAAAGCTGGGAGCCACTTCTGGGTTCTTGCCAGGAGTTCTGGTATTAAAACTCGATGATTCTTCACAGACAACAAGGTGCAGCTGTGTTAGATGATGTTTCTGTGACTCATCAGATTCATGACACCGATGATAAACGTCATACGTAAAGAAGCATGAGAAACCTCCGAGTTAATCCCCTCTGTTCCAAACTACGAGTATCTGATCTGACAAAGGAAAATATCTGACAGCAGAGCATCATTAATTGAACTTTGACCTGTACAGGAACCTCCTGTATCTGGGCCCAGTTGCCTTCAAGAGGTGTTTCTGACACTGGTCACTTTGCTTGTGAGACTTTGAGGGTGAATATCCGAATGTGGTTGTAACCTTTGGCTGTAGAAGAAGACTTGAGAGAGAGTGTTTGAGTCTTTATTAAGAAAAAGCATCACCTGATCCAGAACACAGAGCTGATCCAGATCAACAGGCTCGCTGTACGGCGCTACGGGAGCAGAGAAGGGTCAAAACGGGCCCTCAGCCAAACAGAAAGAGCGTCACGTGAAGGTACTTTGGTCAAAGGGAAGAATCCGCTCTCTGACTTCAACTCAACAGGCTTGAAACCAGGAGACCCAGAGTCCATTTACTGGTCATCGGTTTGGTTTGACCTCGTCGATGTCGTCTTCAGCTGCTAACTCAGCTAGCTTGCAGCTAAAGCAAAGAGTCATTGAGGATTCATTTGCCTGAAGTCATTGCTAACATTAGAATTATCATTTTAAATGACCTTGGTAGGCCAATGCTAACTGTAGCTAATAGCATGGCCATGAGTGTGATTACTGCCATCTTTACTTAGCCTAGTGTTAAGCTAATGTAGCGCTAACAGTTAACACACTGTGGATCCGGTTAGCTAGTTAATTGTAGCTAACCGCTAATCAAACTGCAGAGACCTGTTTTCATCAGATGTTCACACACCGACTAGTGGAGGATTTAGTGGGATTTATTGGCAGAAATGTAAAATAATATTCACAACTTTGTTTTCATCAGGGGGGGCGGCCATGTTTCTCCCCCGTCTCTCCAGTAGGCTGAGACGGGGGTCCGCTGTGGTCTGCAAGCTCACCACTAGATGCCACTAAACCCTTGAAAATTGTCCCTTTAATTGAAAATGATTTGACGTTGGCTCTTCGTTGGACAGAGCTGGACCTGAGGGGGGGGATTGTTCATGATACAACACGTAAAAAAGAAAGAAGAGTCACTAAGTCCTCGTAGGGCTAAAATCAGAGCGGCATGCGGTTTCCCTCCACGCTGATCTTGACGGCGTGACCCGGCTTGGTGAGGCGGCGGATGTCGGCGAACCTCCTCATCTGTTTGTCCACGCGGGTCATCCCCTTCTTCATCGGGCCGTGCTGCAACGACACACAGCGGGGTCAGAGGTCACGTGGTCAAACGCGACCAAAGAGTGATGAAACAATAACGTCAAAGACTAGTCACGTGACGTTGAAGAAACATACGTAGACGACATTGATCACACAAATGCTTGTACTACAAACTGTTGACACGGGGGTCACGGGGTCATTTCTGCTGCCGATGGAGATCGTAAACCAGCTTATTTAAGACATCATTTGGTACTTGAGAATAAAGGCAGAGTTAACGCCACCATAGGAGAGGAGCCTTGCTGGTGTTGTGATATTTGTGATGACAAATGTTGTTTTTAACAAAAACGCTTTGTGTATTTTTGGCCGTTTTATCCCTCTTCCCTTCACGCGGACGAAGAGTCCCAAACCCTCAGACGATCCATCACCGAGCTCCCAGAAGACCAACGGAGCAGAGACAGCCTCACCCCACCAGCAGGTCTGAGCGGGTGTGTGCGTTACATCTTCATCCGTTTATTCACATAAGATTCAATGTGTATGAAATGTGAGAGATTCTTGGTTAGAAAGGAGCTGAACAGTGAATTGTCATTTAAACTGAGATGTAATAAAACTAATGAAGTAATGAATATCCTTGATAAGAGGTTTGATGTATTTGTTTAGTTGCTCAACGCCGTCACAGAGTGACTTTAAATCAAAGTTCTCCTGTGGAACTATTTTAATGTCAACGATGTATTTAGAGTATTGTTACTTAAACTCCCCAGAAGTCACCAGATATCAGTAGTTTAACGGTCAGCGCCTACAACACACACACCAACAGACCTGTGAACACGACCAAACCAAAGAGCGGTTAAACCGGTTAGTCCCGCTGCTCACGGGCGAGCCAGAGGTCGGAGGTCACGGTGGTTCCCCACAGACAGACGCTCCCCCCGGTGAGCGTCCTCTCTGGGGGAAGGACCCTCACGGCGCGGCGCCACACCATGCAGAGACTTACTGCCCCCCCGCCCTCCAGCTACAGGGGCATCCTGTTCCCCTCTATGCTGATCTTCACGGCTCCCTGTGGGCGGCCCGTTTTCTTCTGGTCGGCGACGCGGCGCTTGAGCTTCTCCAGCTGGCTGAGGCCTTTCTTATAGCCGCTCTACAGAGGACCAATCACAGCTCAGTTCATCGCCTCACTTCCCGTCTGCCGACACTGGATCCACTCGTCATTCTTACCGGATTCTCTCCTCCAACTTCAACTTCCACAACGCACACGTAGCAGCAGCGTTACTGTACAGATACGTGCACCAAATGTAGAAGGTGCTGCCTGCTGGTGACTCACCCTGTTGGACTCCATCTCCACGTTCCACTTGGGCCGCACCACGTAGTCTTTGTTGGAGGGCATCGGTACCCGAGCCCGGGCGCAGAAGCCGGGGTCGCCGGGCCGCAGAGCCCTGCAGGGGGGGCGGGACTGCGTTAAGAGACAGTGGCAAACAACCCGGCGGGGTCAATGTGAGAGCTAAACATACTTCTCCTCCCCAGTCAGCTGCTTCTCCAGGTCTCTCCGAGGCGTCTGACCCCCCGAACTACAGAGACACAGAGACACAGGGACAAAAACTTCAAACTGAGGTCACAGAGTCTGTTGAGCTTAGCATGCTATCGTTAGCATCCCTCACCTCGCAGCAGTTAGTGCTCTGAACTTTGACCCTCAGAAACCTTTGACTTGAACAAAAGTACTGGTAAGATACTAATAGTGCATTTAAAACGTTGCCTTCATGTGTTAATCACGTCATACACGGCTAATCTGCCGTAACAGACCTGTTATTAGTGGCGTGTTAATAGTACGCTGACTGTAACAGGCAGCAAAAGCAGTCAGATTAGTAAACACACACATTCCCCTCAGATGTAGTAAAGTAGCAGAGAACGTAAATCTTCAGGTTTAAACGAGCTCCAGCCGAACCAACGTGGGAGGAGCCAGTCGTCACGGTAACAAATCCACGTCCAACGAGCTGTAACTTTGAAAGGGTTAGCGACAGAGGACCAAACCCGCCGATGGAGGCGGAGGTGTTGGGGAGGAGCCACCTCCACCTCCAAAGGAGGCGGAGTTACGGACGCAGCTCCACCAGAACTGCGTCTGCAGGCAGGACTCGCTGTGCACGCATGCAGCTTGAGACTCAACCTGATTGGTGGAGAGAAGACGTCGGGGTCCTTTGCCCTCTCCACCTCCGGAGGCTGACTGGGGGAGGGGGGGGAGATAACATGAAGGATAAAGAGGAATAAAGGGAGAAACGCTGAGGGCAGAGCTCAAGGAAAGAGCAGGAATGGAAAGACAAACGAGCGACGAGACCACATGACCCTCCCCAGAAGGAAAACCACATCAGCCTGAAGCGCTGATGGGAGGGTTAGTGGGCGGCGCCATCAGACCCGAGGAACGTCTGAGGGTTCTGCACCTCCGTGAAGCTCACACAGAAGCTAGAGGAGCAAAAGACTCACTGTCGAGTCTGGAGGAGCCGGCTCTCTTGGTACCTGAGTCTCTGTTTCTGGGGCATCTGCTGGTCCAGGTCCCTCTGCTGACGCTCCTCTCTGGTCATCCCCTTGTAGTTGGAGGTCAAGCCGAAGATGGGTCTGGACCACTCATCTGCGGACGACAGACACCATCACTCAGACACGGCGCTCACTCTCTGGGGCCCTGAAGAAGAAGAGGGATCCTCACTGATCAGTTTCAGGGCGAGGTCCTTGTTGGCCCGGGACTCTTTGGGGTGTTTGTAGAGGAACATGACGGAGCGTCCGATGCCGCTGTGCTTCAGGGTCTCCTGACTCACGCTGGGCAGCTGAAGGGAGGAACCACGCGGTGAGACACGCAAACCTCCGGGGAACCTCAAACAAACACTCACATCAACGGCACTCACTTCCTGCAGGATCCTGAGCAGCTCCTCTCGGATCCTGAGGGCCGGCAGAGATTTGTCCGGAAGGGGGCTGATCCACTCTTTGATGGCCGACATCACACCGCTGTCGATGAACGTCTCCTTCAGGTCCTGCCTGAGGGACACGGGACACATGGGACGAATGACGTCAGAGTGCCAGTAGAATGTGTGAAAGGATTCATGTGTAAACACGCCTGGAGAACTAAAAGATCAATAATAAACTACCAATGTTCCTGAAAATAAGAGACGTGCGGACTCCTCTGTGGTTTTATGTGTTGTAGAATGTGAATGTGCTGATGGTGAACTGCCCCCCAGGAAGGAGCCTCACTTCTTCAGGTGCATGACCACGTGCGGCAGCAGGGTGAGCTTCTTTAGCGCCGGTTTCTTCTGGCTGTTCAGAGTTCGGTCCTCCTGGGGGAGACAAGCACGCGGCCGTTATCCTGCGTGGGGCCACGGCGGGCCGGGGGCTTTTATTGTGGCGGGGCGCACCTCGGCGGCCTCGTTCATCTTGCTGATCATGGCGCTGACCACGTCGTCGGCGTCGCTGATGAAGGTTCCGCCGTCGCGGTGCCGGCGCTTCCTGCTGTTCATGGCTTTCCTCCGGGCCAACATGACGTCGAAGTCCGACATGAAGCTGGTGCTGCAAACAGGAAGTACGGCCATCGCGTCATCGTCACGTTCAGAGGCAACGTCTACAAGAACATTCTGCACAATGAAATATCAAATCAAAGATTTGGGCTTTTGTTTTTATCGGTAAAGCTTCTGGAGCCATTTTGAGTCCTGTAGACGCATCGGACGCGATGGTTATTGGATTCATGCCGTCTCATTGTGGACGTGGACCATTTGAGCGCTGCAGCACCACCTCACAGCTCTACACGTCACTATTATTAATAGAATCAGTATTATTCTTCATACACTGATGTGTATCCAGAAGCTGTCCTGTGACATCACAAAGTTGGCCCCGCCCCCTACAAAGAAGCTCCTCCTTACTCTTGGCCGCTGCGGTCCACCCCGTCGTCCGAGTCGGACTCTTCCTGCTGCTGCTCCTGCTGCTCCTTGGCCTCCTTCTTGTCTCCCTCCAGGTCCTCCTGGTTGAACCCCTGCAGGAGGACCAAGGACAAGCTGACCCTCTGCACTCCCCGCGCCCCCCACGCGACCCCCAGGGGCCCCCGAGGGCCCACTCACCGTGAACTCCTCCTCCTCGTCGCCGGACTCCCCAAAGATGTCCGCAATCATTTTCCTGGAGGCACAAGAGGTCAAAGGTCACACCGGCACATTTAAACGTCATAACCTTTGAATGAGTAGATTTACTAAACTGTTTTTTTTAGAAACATTGAGTTTGTGGTTCAATATTTAACAATTTACATGCCGATTGTTTCTAAATCTTAGAATAACTTTACAAATATCTAAATATTTCTCTGCACACTAAACTAGAAAAGACCAAGTTTATCTGTAACAAACTGGACGGAAAGACAATTACTAAAATATGAACAAACGATGGTGAACTTTGTGATTATGGATCCATTGATCATTGATCAGAACTCACTCCTCCTCCTCCTCCTCCTCTTCCTCGCCCTCCCCGGAGTCGCTGTCGCTGCCGAACAAAGCCTTCTCCTCTTTCTTCCCGCCGCTCTTCGTCTGCTCGTCTTCGTCGCTGCCGCTGTCCGAGCCGAGCTCCCTCAGCTTCGCCGCCAAGGCCGAGTCGGGCCGGAGCGGCAGGGCGCCTCCGTCAGAGTCGTCGGACACCACCCGGGTCCGCTTCGGGGCTGAGAGGAGGGGGGGGGGACAAAAATGAATCTCAACGTGGAAAAAGACATTAAAGTCCAAAACATCAGAACTACACGATTAGTCTCAAATATCCCAGAATCCCCAGCTGACAGGTGTCACTTACCTGGTTTGTCTGTGTTGTGCTCTTCATCATCCTCACTGTCCGACAGGACGGCCTTCTTCCTCCTCACTGGGCACACGCACACACACACACACACACACACACACACACACACACATTACCTTGCGGCCCAACACTGATCTGAGGGGCTACAGCGGATCTGGTGACGTGGGGTCAGTACCTGGCGTCTCGTCGTCCTCCTGCTGCTTCTCGCCTTCGTTTCCTGCTGCAGCCTTCCTCCCCCCTTGGCCCTCCTCCTCCTCCTCCTCACTGTCAGACTGCATCACAGCCTTCCACTTCCCCCCTCCACCACCTCCCCCCTCCTCCTCCTGTTTCTCCTCCTCCTCCTCAGAGTCTAGATGTACTGCCTTGCGTCTTGCCGGTGTCTCCTCCTCAGAGTCACCGTTAAGAGACGCCACAGGTTTGGCGTCCTCGTTCTCCGAGTCGCTGCCCGCAGGCACCATGTGCCCCCCCCCCTCCACATCCGAGCTGCTCTCTCTGCGCTTGGGGAGAGACGATCCTCCCTCCTCCTTGTCCGAGCCGCTCATCCTCCGCTTGACCGCGGCGTCCTCGTCGTCCTCGCTGTCAGCGGGTTGAGGAGGCTCCGCCTCCAAGTCGCCCTTGTTGTCGTGGTAACCCCCGGGTGCTTCGGCCCCAGAGTCGCTGTTGCTTCCTCCGCGCTCCTCGTTGTCGGAGCCGCCCGCCGCCCCGCTGGTCTCCATGGCGACGGGGCTGTCGTCATGGCCACTGCCCTCGTCCTGTTGGGACGACGACATTAATACGCTGCAGTTTATGTATTCGCTGACTAGTTATTTTCAGCAGCTCTCCAGATGGTAATCGGTTTGACCTCTGACCTCTGACTGGTGCCCGCCGCTCCCGGCCTCCTCGCCGTGCTCGTCCTGAACCGGAGTGCCGCCTCCGTCGTCTGCAGAACACACGGGACCACAAGTCAGTGATGTCATCGCGCGTGTTAGAATGGAAGCCCTCTGTGGCGCTTTCACAGGGGAAACCACTCAGAGACAAAGGTCCGGATGAGACGCGAGTAACGGAGCTCAGCATGAGCAGCCTCCACAGATCCGCATCAGGCCCGAAAGAATAACGAAGACCCCATTGAAAAAAAACGTCCTTTTAATCCTCACGTGTAAATAACACAGAAAACAAGCTAGCTAAGCTAAACATTACGATCGATTTGCAATTCGGAATGAATCCAAAACATTTATATAAAAGTGTCTGTTTCTTTATTACACAAGTCAGGCAGGAAGTGACGTAATGCCGGATCGGGGGCGCTGTTTATGTCGCGGTTATGAACGTGATACAGAGACTCCGTGTAACACATGTGTGTTTAAGGATCACAAGCACACATAGACACGACTAGAACCGCTTCTAATGCATCACCCAACACTATGAGGCTCCGGTGCCGCCCGGTGCTAACCGAGAAGAGGCGGCTTACGGACGGATGCATGTCCCTCTGGAGCCGATGATTCTTCCGTAGAGAAGAACTCCCTCCATTAAACACTTCTAACGCTAAATATGACGGAGAACCAGTAGCGATCCCCGCACTCGGGTGAACTGTGACCCGCTGGGGAGGACTGGAGGTAGCAGTTAGCTCGCCCGCTAGTTAGCTAGGAAACAAAGCCGAGCAACAGGGTTTGTTTTGTTTACCGGAGTGCCTCCCCGACAGGAAGTCGTCATCTTCTCCGTCCATTCGTGAGAAGAAGAAGGGTTCAGGTGGAGATCTGTGTTGGATTCAACGTCTTAATACCAACGCGGGAAAAAACCAAACCACATCAGAGTAACGATGCGTTCTGAGAACGAATTGCTAGCTAGCTAGCCACTGTAGCCCGCAGATCCAAGATGGCGTAACTTCCGTCATATACGCATGTCTGACTTTTTTTAAATAAACTTTATGAACAACGAACAATTCACAATACAAATTAAATGTGATGTTTTACACCACTTTAGACAGTGGTGAAATGCGAGTAAGTACAATACACTGCATAATAATACGACTAAATGAAGCTAAAACAACGAATGAATTATTAACTGGCAACCAATTAAATAAACTAATGAATTATAAAAAGACTTTATCAATTGTCTTACACCAACCGCCAAGACAAATTCCTTGTATGTTTGACATATTTTGGCAATAAATGTTTCCTACATCGATCATGAATTATTGTTCCTCAAAGTACTCCCTAAATCAATGAAAACATTTTAAAAGTTTTAATATATCCTGAATATATTATCTTCTTCTTTACTAAAATGACAACTTCTTAAACAACTGGAATATAAAGGTGTAAACAATTGTCAATCAGAAATAATTTACCGCTTACATATGTGCGTAGTTACATATATACAGTTACGTAAAATAAAAAAATAATAAAAATAAAGGGGGGCGAGGACGACTTTTTTTTTTAGATGGTTTGTATATTTTCAGAAATAAAAAAATCAATAAAAAAACCTGCTCTTTAGATGTGGAAAAGAGACATTATTTTAAATAGATTCGATATTTGTGTTCTGAAGTGATTTTATTGATATATGTAAAATGTAACAACTTTGTAGTGACAAACAAAGCGGTTCATCCCTCTTAAGTTCTACATTATACACGTGAAACACACTAACAGCACAGCGAGAGACCTCCGCGTTTTAAGGAGTTCGGTCGTTTCAATAAAGTTATTTTTGGCGACTGGACAGTGACGTCACTGAGCTGCGACGCATCTCACGGAGGGACCACACGCGTGTTTGACGGATCAGAACCCAGGTCCGCTGAAGACCAGCACCCAGTCCTCTCCTCTCCGACCCGGCGCGATGGGAGACACCAGCCGGCTGTGCTCCGTGTGGCTCGGATCCGAGACCGGCATCCTGAAGGGGGTCAGCGTGTCCCGGAAGCAGGCCTTCAACTTCTGCAACACGAGCCACCTGAGCCGCGACCAGGAGGTCCGCGCGCTGTGCTGGGGGGACCCGGATGAGAGCGAGCTGCTGGTGGGCTCCGTGGACGGAACCGTGAAGACCTTCAGCGTCCAGAAGGGGGTCTTCACCGAGACCCGGCGCTGCGGGGAGCCCGCGGAGGGCTGCTTCACCGGGCTGGCGCGGCTCAGTGGGTCCGGGCTGCTTACCTGCGTCGAGACCGGGACCCTGCGGGTCTGGCGCGAGGACGGCGCCGAACCCGCCACCGAGATGAAGGCCGGGGATCACGTGAGTCGGATGCGCCAGAGCCCGGTGAACCGGAACCACGTGGCCACCGGAGGGAAGGCGAACGGGCTGAAGATCTGGGACCTGCAGAAACCCGACAAGCCCGCGTTCACCGCCAAGAACCTGCGGGACGACTGGCTGGACCTCACGAGGCCGCAGTGGGTCCGCGACATGGCCTTCATCCCGGAGTCCGACAAGGTGGTGACGTGCACCGCGTACCACCAGGTGAGTGCTCCCCTAGGACAGGTGGTCTGTCCTCGGGGCCTTTAAGTGCGATGGGAGACCTGATGCTCATTGCGTCTTACGAGAGACCTTCTTTGAACAAGAACTGAAGCGCTGACGTGTTGTAAATGCACCTTTAACGTGGTCGTCTGCCCCCCCCAGGTCCACGTGTTCGATCCCTCCACCCCTCAGCGGCGCCCCGTCCTGGAGTTTGAGTATGGCGAGCACCCGCTCACCGCCCTGTCGCTGCCCGCCGCCGGCAACGCCGTGGTGGTGGGCAACACCCACGGCCACATCGCCCTGCTGGACCTGAGGAAGGGCGTGGTGCGCGGCTGCCTGAAGGGGACGACGGGGGGGGTGCGGGCGCTGCAGTGTCACCCCACCCGGCCCGTGGTGGCGTCCTGCGGCCTTGACCGCTTCCTTCGCGTCCACAGCCTGGAGGACCGCAAGCTGCAGCACAAGGTCTACCTGAAGTCCAGGCTCAACTACATCCTGATCGCAGCAGCGGACTGGTGGACGGAGGGGGGGCGGCGGCGGGGGAGGGCGGGACTGAGGGGGTGAAGGAGGAGGACGGGGAGGAAGACGACGAGGTGTGGGAGACCATGGAGCGCGTGGAGGAGAAGACGAAGAGGAAAACCACAGAGGAAGAGGAGCTGCAGAAGACGAGCAAGAAAAAGAAAGGACAGGACTGAGGGGCGTTTGAGGGCCCCGGTCAGAGTGGGACATTTCACTGTCGGACTGAAACACTATGAAAGAGACAAGCGTTGTCCTTCCTGGACAGGACGTTTGTTTATTCATCTGAGACAAATCAGTCTGACAATATTACAAATGTATTTTCTAATATTTAGGCAGCAGCGTGAGATTAAAACAGTTCAAGAATCCAGCTTCTTTTTTTAATCTTAATTTTAGCCTGAACCTGGTTGGGATGAAGAAGGGGCGCACGGCCTAAAACGTTTGAACCAGTATCTGTGGTCCTGATCCTCAACATGAACGGGCCTCGCCGACCTTTGCCCCCTGGGGGCTTGGAGAGACACAGCAGAGACAAGTGATCCCAGGACACTTTTAAATGGGACGTTAAGTAATAGAATTCACTCAAATAGATAGAAGTGTTATAATATACATGGTCACATCTGTCACGTGACGTTGACCCATGTCGTGTTTTTAAATGCACATTCAGAACAAACTGCTCTTAGTGATGACGTTAACTGTGTCCTGCTGCCCCCCATACGGCCCCTGAGCCCCCGGGTCCATGTGCTGTTCTTATGAACATCAATGTACTACACACATTTATAACACACACAAGGAGCAGCTCGTCTGCAGTTATTAGTGAAAAGTCACTTTAATGACGTTCACACTTTAGAGGCTGACTGACGCTGAGGCGGTTTTATAAATAGTTTATAACAGAAATGGATCAAAGTTATGAACCTGTAACATTACGGAATAAATACACACAGAAACTGAACTCACTTTGCTGCTTTTGTTTTGTGATTATAAACTAACTTGTGTTCTTCTCTCAGCCTGAGTATACCATCCTCCACAGAAGCTTTTCTTCCTGAATGAAATCAAATAAAATTCTTCTTTTTCTGTACTTTGTCATTTGTTTGGCTTTTAAGGCTTTTACTGTGAAGTGCAGCAGGTTGCTAAGCAACCGGAGCAGCGGCGGTAAAGCTGATGACGCAGCCAGGAAGTCCCCCGTAGGACAGACCGTCCCACGTCAGAGACCGCTCGCTTCAGCCTGTGCGGCTGTTGGAGGACGCAGCCCAGGTAGACCAGAAGGCTGCAGGCTGCAGGCAGGGCTGTGGTCTACGTGCACATACGCCGCATGTTACTGCGTCTGCAGCGGCTCTTGCGTGTCCTTGCGTCTCTCTGAAAACGCAGAACGCCCCCCGTTGGCCGTTGACCTATTATGAAGTCGTATCACAATTTGAGATCTGTTATGTGACCCATGAAGTCCAGAATCTGAGGTCCAGGGACGACAACAACAACAACAACAGCAGCAGCAGCTGTCAGCGTGTATGAGGGTTTATTAAGCATCACAGGACGGAACCGTCTGGAAGGAAATGAAATATCCCCCCCAGGCTGAACTCGCCCGACATTTAGGAGAAGATGCAGAGAAGCTAAAAAATTAAAACGCTTGTGCTTCAGTCTTCATCACCTGGACGGGTGTGAAACATGCGGCCCGCCGGGGTCCAGTCGGCCCGCAGGACGACGAGTGTGAGAATCACAGAAAGACGCTGCGGTTCCTCATCAGTCCAGCGGGGGGCGCACTGTGCTGATGATGGAACCATTGGGGTCCGTCCTCTTGAAGGATTCAGTGACATCTAGTGGCGAAGCTGCACATTGCAACTGACCTCCAGGTGACGTAAAAACATTAATAACAACTATTGTGAGTTTCAACGAGATTAAACATGAATAAAACCAGATATAAATAAATGAAATACTTCTAAATGAAGACTGGACCATTGAGGAGAAAAAACATCTTCATATTGATTGAAAACGAGATCCTTCTGCAGTGACTGCACCACGAGGACGAGGACGAGGACACAGACGGTCCGTCAGCTCTTCACTTTGTGTCATTTACAGAGTTCGCTGTCCTCCTCTTCCTCCTCCTGCTCCTCCTGCTCCTCCCCTCCCCCCCCGCAGCTGAACCGCCGTCTGCTGAGCCTCTCCGGGTCGTGTGATGCCATATCGCTGAAGTCACGGAAGATGTCCTGAAAGGTCTCATCGTCCCCTACAAACAAATATTGTTTGTCAATCTCTAGTTTCAAGTCTCCTCCAACACAGCATGATGTTCATGCAGGAAACAGAGGATGGTTTAGGGCGGGACATCTATGCCTCTGACCTGTCAATCATTCACTTAAAGCATCCCCTGTTATAATGTACTAAATGAACATCTTCTCTCAAGAAAACATGGACTTTTTTTCCAATTAAATCTTTTGATGAAACATTTTGGCTTCTTTTTCAAGACGTAATGTTTTTGACATTCTTCGACTTTGACAGCGTGATTTTAGGATCCTCACGAGTCCATAAGAGGGCGAGTACTGACCCGAAGCGCCAAAGAATCCGTCTGAATCCCTCATCTCCTCGTTCATCCGGGCCATGCGCAGTCTGAAGCATCACACACACACACACACACACACACACACACACACACACACACACACACACACACACACACACACACACACACACACACACACACACACACAGGGTGAGTCAGAACCAACCCAAATAAACGTGGTGATGGAATTAGACGTCTGTCGTCCTTCTCATCTTGGCCTTTGTGCTAAGCTAGGCTAACGAGACTCACAGTGTGACGATGTCGGCGTGAGCAGTTTCCACGGCGATGGCCAGCGGGTCCTGACCTCGCTCGTCAGCGGCGTACTGATTGGCTCCTTTCTTCAGCAGCAGACACACGAGTCTACACGCAGCCAACGAGAAGCAGGGGTGTCACATCCAGGTGTGTGTGTGTGTGTGTGCGTGTGCGTGTGCATGCAGCTACCCGGTGTGGCCAGCGGTGGCGGCGGCGTGCAGCGCCCCCTGACCCCTCAGGTCGCGGTGGTTGACGTTGGCTCCGTTGAGCAGCAGGAACTCGCAGGCCGACATGGAGCCCTGCAGCAGCCACACAGAGGACCACCCGCTGCTACTTGTAGTGGAGCGTCAATCATCATCTCCCCCTCCTCCCTCCCCCCTCTCCTCACCCCAACTGCGGCTCCAATCAGCGGCGTGCGCCCCGCCTCCTCGTCGATGCTCCCGTTGACCGGCGCCCCCTGGGCCAACGCCATTGCCATGGCAACCAGGTCCCCGGCGGCCGCGGCCCGGTACAGTCGCAGCCCGGCCTCCCCGCCACCTTCAAAGGGTTTAGGTATTCACTGTAACCATGGCGACGACACGTGAAAATACGGAATATTACGTCCGGACCAGATACACAAGGTACACAAACACACACGTGTGTATTTACAGTGTTAACATCTGTGCTCATCAGCCACAATTTGTTCTACATTGAGTTCAACTTGATAAAAGTTGACTTGAACTATTTAGAATCCTTTCAAATATAAATGAGCGACGTAAACCTCCACTTTTTGTCAGTTTTGCTCTCGTGTGTCTGTCCTCCAGGTTTGTCCCCCACGTCCTCGTCTCCTCCCGTTTTGCCCGTTAGGTTGCTTAGTAACGATACGATACAACGGTTCAGCCTGCGAGCTAAACGGACGCGGCCACGTCCTCGCCGTCCGTCCGTCTCACGCCGATGTAACGGACGGAGGGACGTACGTCTCAAACATGAGAGAGATGTTGAGCCAAAGTGGCGTGAGGCTGATTTACCGTCCACCCACATGTGGTGTCAAGTCCTGACAGTACATACGTGTATAATACGTGTATGCATGCGTGCATGTATGTATGCATGCGTGCATGTATGTATGCATGCGTGTATGTATGTATGCATACATGTACATAAGTGTGCTTACGGGCTCCATCCGAGATGCTGCTGTGCAGGAATCTCTTGTGCACGTACTTCTCTTTGATCCACGTCTCTTTCTCCGCTCTGGAAAAAGAGGGAAAGTCGTGTGTTGTTTTAGTGACTAAAGGATCACTTGGATCAGCGAGGACGGATCGACTTCCTGTCACCTCGGGCTGTCGGCGCCGGGTTTGACTCGTCCTTCCTCTGAACACCTCGCCTCGTAGATCTGGTTCATCACGTCGTTTCCCAGAATGCACAGCAGCTACAGGAGGAAGACGTCTCGTTAGACTTCAGCTCCGACCTCAATGAGGAGTCGATGTGAGTGTGAGTGAGTGAGTGAGTGAGTGAGTGAGTGAGTGAGTGAGTGAGTGAGTGAGTGAGTGAGTGTGTATGTGTGTGTGTGTGTGTACCTTCAGCTGCTCAGCCTCCCAGGAGTCCAGAGTGAGAGACCTCACCTTGGACAGGTGCACGCCGAGGCTCCTGGAGAATACAGAGATATAGAAGAATATATATTAAAAAAAATATTTATTTATTTATTATTTATGAATTAAATAAATATTTAAATTCTGAAAAAATGCTTTTTCGTGGTGTTTTAAACAGCTTTTAACGGTATATTTAACTTCACAGGCTAAACAATGTTGCTGGTGCAACCTCATATTTGTAAAATACTTTGTTATTTATTCAAACACAAATGTGTGTAACGTGTTTACATGTGCTATTTGGATAATGTATGTATGTAACCCTTTAAGATAATACTAAGTATTTACATTTAGAACAAACACCATAATACTAAAATAAAGATGAATACCTTCTATACAATATCTCTTCACAACGTATTCAGCATTACATTTCACACAGGTTGAGTCTAAAGTGCCACACACAGTAGTACTGCCCGTTGTACTGCCCGTTGTACTGCCCGTTGTACTACCCGTTGTACTACCCGTTGTACTACCCGTTGTACTGCCCGTTGTACTGCCCGTTGTACTGCCCGTTGTACTGCCCGTTGTACTACCTGTGTATGCCGGAGCACTGGATGCACATGGTCACCCCCAGGTTGATGGAGGCCCAGCGGGGCTCCTCCTCCCCACAGTCACAGCACCGCTGGTTCCCGGGGCCCCCGAGGGCCACGGCCAGCGCCGCGGGCCTCTGGGCGGGGGAGGGGCCCGGGGACAGAGGCGGGGCCTCTCTGGGCTAAGCACAGGCAGGGGTTCAGTCAGTCTACCGAGGTGCAGATCAACAGTAACACGCGTGAAGAAGTCGACATGTAAAGGAACACGGTGCCTGTGAGCCGGCGTCTCCGTAGGCGAAGTCGATGCTTCCCTGCAGAGCGCCGAGCCAAGAGCGCTTCACGAGGTCCGAGTCCGCCTGCAGGGCGCAGCACCTGAGACACACACACATTTATCTACACACGCATACAGTGTGTGTGTGTGTGTACACGTGTGAGTCGTACTTCTTTATGGACAGCAGCTCCAGACAGAACCGGCGCTCCGTGTGCTCCGTGGACTTGACGGCACAAAGCCGGAGATCCTCAAACAGAACCAGAGGCTCCTCCTGCAGGAGAGACACCGCCTTTAGAACCACACCTCCCACACACACACACACACACACACACACACACACACACTGTTGTGTAGCGTGGGTCGGAGTCGTACCCTGGGAGACTTCCTGTACAGGAGCTGGTTGTCTCTGATGGAAAAACCAGTATCTGAAATATCAAAGTTAACATTTAGCTCGCGTTGCTGTGAATGATATGATGCACACGCACACAATAACACACACAACACACAATAACACACACGCACACACAATAGAGAGTAGGACAGTAGAGGCCAGTGTACCTCTTCCAGGTTTTGGGTTTCCTCCTGGAGCGTTTGAAGAGGAAACCTGAGATGATGGCGTCACTGTTTGGACACGGAGACACCGTCTGCTCTCCAGAGGCATCCTGAACACACACACACACACACGCACACGCACACACACACACACACACACACACACACACACACACACACACACACACACACGCACGCACACGCACACACACGCGCACACGCGCACACGCGCACACGCACTAGTTATTAATTAAGCTGGATGTCTTTCCTTTCTGTTTCCAGTCTTTATGCTAAGCTAACGTGCTTCTAGTTCAGTGTAGTGAGCGGCTGAAGTCGCGTGGTTACATTACATTACATGTCATTTAGCTGACGCTTTTATCCAAAGCGACGTACAATAAGTGCATTCAACCATAGGGTACAAACTCAGGAGAACAAGAAACAAGAAAGTGCAATTTCCTCAAATAAGCCAATTTACAATTTGCTGTAGATGAGTGACGTCACAAGTACAATTTAAGTGCTACAATTTGTTAGTCTTTAGTGGAGGTAGAGTCTGAAGAGGTGTGTCTTTAGTCTGAAGATGTGAAGGCTCTCTGCGGTCCTGATGTCTTCAGAGACCTCCTTCCACCATTTCGGCGCAAGGACAGCAAAGAGTCGAGATCTAGTCGAGTGTTTTGCTCTCAGTGAGGGAGGGACGAGTAGTTTTGCAGATGCAGAGCGGAGAGTGCGGGTTGGTTGTGTAGATGAAGTGCACTTGTTGTATCAGCGTTGTGTCATCAGGCCGTCACTGCTGCTCTAATCACAGTTGTGTCTATTGCATCATTTAATAAGTACTGTTCTTATGCTTCAGGCTTCCTGTGTTTTAAAGAGATATTCTATCCAATCAGATTCGACCTCCAGGTGGACCTTCACATGGAGGTCTATGGGCGCCATGTTGATGATTCTCAGTCTTCAGCCAAGCAGATCTTCAGTTTGACATGTGGCCGTATTCCTTCACGAGGCAGAAGCACCGAGGCCTCATGTGCACGTCTGCATCAACGTACAGCGCAGCAGTAATGAGGAGAGGAGGAGGAGAAGGAGAGGAGAGGAGGAGAGGAGAGGAGAAGGTGAGGAAAGAAGAGGAGAGGAGGAGAAGGTGAGGAGGAGAAGGAGGAGAAGGTGAGGAGGAGAAGGTGAGGAGGAGAGGGTGAGGAGGAGAGAAGGTGAGGAGGAGAGCTCTTACCCTCTGCTGAACCAGCAGATGTTTGTTCTCCAGCTGTTTCCTCTGAGCTGCACATTCTGCTGACAACTGAGACAGCTGGAGGCAGAGGGGGGGGGGGGGGGGGGG